CAGGTTGACGGAGGCTGTATGGCAGGGAGTTCCAAATTTGTGGACCAGCAACGGCAAAATTCCTATTGGCCACCATCAAAATTGTTTAAAAACAAATAACATATCATCTGAGCGTAATTGCAAGTGATGAATAGTTTTCGGTTTGTACAAACACCTTCCAGACAAGTAGCTTGGGCTTAAACCATTTAAACATTTGAAAACCATAACGGCAAGCTTGAAGATGATTCTTTTTTCTATTGTGAGCCAATGGAGATCTCGTAGAGTGTTACTGACATGGTCGTATTTTAACTCTCTGGAAATGATCTTAGCAGCACGATTTTGAATTGACTGAAGACGATTAATCAATTGATTTGAAACTCCGTAAAAATGCTGTTGCAGTTATCCAATTTTGAATGAATGAATGCGTGAACCAAACATTTCAAGGTGTCGTTATCGACTGATTTTTTTACTTGTCTGAGTTAGCGAAGTTGATAGTAACAATCTTTAACCAATGACTTTGTATGTTGATCCATTGACATTGCAGTATCAAATACAACGCCCAGATTTTTAACAGAAGTGCAGAACTCAACATTAGAATCACCGATGTTGAGGGAGTTAATATTAATCTTTTTTAATTGCTGCCAAGTACCGACAGGCAGAATTTGTGGTTTATTTTAGTTTTAGTTTATCATTTACCATCCTTTCACTTAATTTATTAAAACAACGTAAAAATCTATCAACCATCGCATCAAAACAGCGCTCATATCTAATAAAGCCAAAAGTGAAACATTTTGTGAATTCAATTTAGAAGAAATATCATCAGAGCAGTTTCAGTAAAGTGATACTGCCTGTCTCCAGACTGATGGATTGGAATTAAACCACGCACATTCAAATGATTTAAAAATTGTTTTAAATATAAATAAATATATAAATCGTTCTCAATATATTAAACTTGGCTCTCACTCTTTTTCTAGCATTACTTTATTTACTGGATTTACCCAAGGGTCTCTCCCTGGTCCCATTTTTTTCGCTACTTTTACCTCTCCTATTTCTAATATCATTAAAACTTTTGGTTTACTCTTTCATCAATACGCTGATGACAAATGTATAATAGCTAAAATTTTTACCTCTAATCATATATCTCAGCTTGACAACTTCAATGCACGTACTATGGCCATAAACGGTTGGTATTTATCAAAATTTCTTCAGCTAAATCCCCACAAATCTGAAGTAATGTTTTTTGGCACTTTGCAACAGCATTTGTTCCCCCAATCACACATTTTATTGGCTGATTCTTCTTCCTCTTCAATTTTTAAGCTCAAATTTTTAGGCTTAACTTTTGACTCGTCTCTATCTTCAATTCTCATGTCTCGGCTTTGATCAAATCATATAAGTATTATACGTGGACTATTCGTCATATTCGTTATTTTCTCACTGAAAATATTGGTTCTACACTGGCTCAATGTCTCGTACTATCACGTTTATATTATTGTAATTCTCTTCTCTACGGTCTTCTTTCCTACCTTCTAACTTTACTTCAAAAAGCTCAAAATAGAGTTGAAAAAGTTATTTTAATTATCAGTAACTTATCTTCCAGCACAGAATCACTCATTCAACTACATTGGTTACCAGTACGTCAACGCATTATATTTAAACTCGCGTCCTCACGTACAAGTTACTTAATACATATCAACCATCATATCTTCATCAATTTATATCGCGTCGTTCATCGACTCGTCAACTTCGTTTGTCTTCATATACTCGGTTGCATCAACCTGTCAGCAATTCATCAGTTGTCAACAAATGCTTTACGTACAGCTCTTCTTCCATATGGAATGGTTTGCCCGCCATTATTCGTCAACAACCAAACATCAAACTCGTTAGGAAACGATTAAAGAACTTTTTGTTTATCTAGGCCTTAGGAAACGCCAAAAGTCATTGTTTATCGAAGCGTCCCTAAAGCTATGCATAGGACGCGATATAAATTAATAATAACAATAATAATCAGCTATATTTAAAAAAATTACATCAGTGCAGCCTGATGTTGGCGTGGTGAATAAATAATTTAAAGGTGATAAGTGTAATGACATGAACGATCTTAATATGTATGAATCAATTCAATGCAAATTATAACTGACGCGTCGGCAACTTACGCATCGACGTCCGAAGTTAGCTGCCTAAATTAGATGAATTAACATGAGATCAGTAAATTTTTTAACGTTTTTAAATTTCCTATAGAAATAATTGTGGTTTTGAAAAGTTGGTTAACAAAAAATAGTGAACAGTTAATTAATTTACAAAGTTACAAATATTCAAAATGGGGTGGAATTGGATTTTTCATAGAAATAAAGTTTGTTTAAAAATACTTAATGACGTGAATGTGTGTTTGTTTAGTTGTTGAGACGTTGAAATAAATATGTGCCGGTGAGACTTTATCAAACGTTGAAGAGAGGACTTCAGTCGTCCCGGCAGTTTACAAGCCACCGACCACTCGATTGAGTGTCTTCTTCGTAGTAACTGTTGATTTATTTGCTGTGGTGGTCAATAGTCGAGAAAGAAAGCAACTTATTCTTACTGGGGATTTTGAAAGGAAAAAAGTTAAATTTGCGCGATTTGCGCCAGAGACCTGATGAACCTAATTTTCTGCGATTATTAAATTCTTGTGGTTGAAACAATATCTCCTTCAACTCGCTTTCCAACAGCTAAGAAATAATTATTTAACAAATTTTTCACAAACTTAACCTTGACTTATTTATTTTGACTTTATTTGCAATTCATAAGGAAAGGTAAAAAAAGTGAAAATTCTGTACAAACAATATCTACAAATACCAAACAAAACGGCAAGGCGAATCAATAATCTCAACACATGTTTACGATCACAAAATTGAAGATCTTTGCGATGCTTTTGACGGCTCTATTAAAACTTTTATTTTGGTTATGACAATGTTGTCAATTGCCAAAATCAAACCATGGAACACAGATGATATTAAAATGAATCTAAACAATGGACAAACTATATCCAAAATTATTAAAAACTCCACAGTAGAAAATTTTTGTTTCAAATTCAAGTCGCTTCACAAAAGCAACACAAAAGTTAAAAAATCATAACGTGATTTTTATGGACATCATTTTTCAAGAGCAGACATGACAGCAAAGAAATCTGATCGTCTGTTAAAAAAATTATCAATAACTGAACCGAACTACATGAAATACTCAAAATTTACAAACAAGGACACTTTCGTCCTTTCCTTGACTCAACTACATCAAATGATAACATGCACGCAGCTCTTCCGTTTAAACGCTTTAAATGTTTTCGATAATATTTCAGCAAGAGTTGTAATCGTCGCCATTAATCAACAGTTGACATCTTGATGTGATATTGATATTTTTAGGATATTGATGTGATAATAATGTTTAAATGATTGGATGCTATTGTTATGAAAATGGGATGTTGGTGTGATATTGATGCGCTGATAATGTTATGTCATAATTCATAATGTTGTGTTGATGTCATGATGTTGTCATGATGTTGTGTTGATGTCATGATGTTGTGGTGGTGACATGATACAGGTAGGATGTGATTTCAGACGCCGAGACAATTAAGATGCATGAACGCTGTTTCAGCCTCTCGAAGTTATTGACACAACAATTTGAAGAGCAAGTTGAAGAAGCTTTAAACATCAGCACATTTTTGTTTGATACGACGTTTCCGAAGAGAAAGATACTGTCTCATCATCATCACCACGCAATGATAAGGAGCCAAAGTCAGGAATGTTTTATAAATTGCTGGAAAATAAAAATAAAAATTATGTTGATGTAAAAAACTGTGCAAATAATGAACAAACAGCGTGTGTGAGGAATGATGTTTTTACGTGGAATTTTTGTATCACTAGCGTCGGAACGTTGCAAACAATATTACATAGGACAAAACATCAGCATCACACCCACACAAACATTAACATCACACCAGCACGAACATTAACATCACACCCACACAAACATCAACATCACACCTACACAAAACACCAACACTACACCCACACGAACATCAACACCACATCCCAAAAACGTCAACCTAACACCAACAGAAGACATCAACTGAACACTACATCCACTACACCGCATAAATTTTATATAAAAATTTGTATCGAATCAGTAAATCGGATGGATGCTCGCCAAACATAATTTGGATGAATTGGCGATTTCACGAAGCATTCATCCACTGAGGGACTTGATCACCTGACGCGAATATTTAAAAACATAAATTCTGAGACAAATGTGGCAAGGTGACATTTTTAGGCTTGATATTTCTAGTCTAATCTTCCAAGTCAGCTGTAAGAAATATTTTCTTAAAAATTTTTTTTTTATAGTATAAGCACGTATGCACATTATTTTCATTATATAAATAAATAAATAAATATATATATATAATGTAACATATATAATATAATATATATGTAATATATATGTATATTTGTAATATAATATAGATATATAGCGAACATATTTAAGTACAACATTAAGGCGCGTGCACACGCATCGAAAAAACACCTTGAACTGGCTGGTAAAAGTTGTAATGGGAAAAAAATCATCATTTTCATCATCATAATCATCCTCACGATCATTATCAGCATCGTCATCGCTATCGTATCTTTATCTTTATCATTATCCTACTCATCATCATCATTTTCTTGTATGCAAATTCTTTGTGTGGATGAGGGTGTTCGTACGTGTTTGTATGTGCTCGCAAGTGATTGATAATGTGCCGCGTTGTTTTTGTGTGTGTGTATTTATTTGTGTATGTATGTATGTTTTTTTTCGAGGTAGGAAAATACATTTACGTATTTCCAGGCCACAGCCCTTGGATATGTCGGACTCGAAAAAATCCCATACCGACTAAAAACCTCCTCGACATCTGGCCCCTGTTTCCTCGTTGACCCGCCGTTAGGCATTACTGCACGGAGAGAGGATCATAGCTATTTGCTTTTCTTTCTGTTAATTTCTACTTTTTATGTATTTTTCTATTTTTCAACTTTGTTTGCTCTTTGTCTTTCTATCGTACGTAGATTTCGGAGAACCTCTGACGAAAATGAATCGATCGCATCCCAAGCAATTTCAGATGTGAGCATTGCTTTTACTATTTTTTCTGGCTGGAGTTTCTGTTTGAGGACAGTTTCCAGATTATTCCTGGACCAATTAAAACGTGGGCATTCAAAAAAGTACATGTCCTGCATTTTCATTAATTTTCGGACAAGAAGGGCACTTCGACGAATCATCATGCCCAAAACGATAAAGATATGCTCGGAAGCATCCATGACCAGAGAGCTTTTGCGTCAAGTAGTATTTTACCTCACCATAATTATGATTCACCCAGATACTTATTTTATTTGTGGTATTCAAAAACGTGGGCATTCAAAAAAGTACATGTCCTGCATTTTCATTAATTTTCGGACAAGAAGGGCACTTCGACGAATCATCATGCCCAAAACGATAAAGATATGCTCGGAAGCATCCATGACCAGAGAGCTTTTGCGTCAAGTAGTATTTTACCTCACCATAATTATGATTCACCCAGATACTTATTTTATTTGTGGTATAAGTCAATATGTCCATTTTTTTGTCCATCTACCAGCTGTTGATGAGTCCCACTGCATTTGCCATCGAGGCACGCTATGTTGTCGTTCTTCCATTTTGAGTTTTTCTGTGCTCAATGCCGTGGTTTTTTTTCGCTTTATAAAACCTTTCTTCCTTTAAAAAATCATCATTTTCATCATCATAATCATCTTCACGATCATTATCAGCATCGTCATCGCTATCGTATCTTTATCATTATCCTACTCATCATCATCATTTTCTTGTATGCAAGTTTTGTGTGTGGATGAGAGTGTGTTCGTACGTGTTTGTATGTGTGCCACGCCAGGCATCTACCGGTTCTCCAAGGAATCAATGTGCAGCCATCCGGGCGTTTTCCATCCAGCGCGGAAATTCCCGAGGGCTTTTTAAGAACGGGTATTGAAGTCTTGGAAAAAAGCCGGCAGATGTAATCATTTAACGCGGAATGGCGCAACTGACGACCGCCACCCAAACGACAGACCAGGCCGTGGTGACCGAGTTCATTAGCTTCCGCACCGCACCTACACAGATATTTATGGTGGACCGTTAAACTCAGACGAAAACCAATGGCCATCCTGACCGTCTCATTATCCAGTCGGGTACCCACCGATGAGTTGGGCCAGGATCTCAACCAACCGCAGCTCGCGTCGCGTGACGCGGCCAGCAGACAAGCCGAAGTTGCATCGTCGAGACTAGAGGACAACAAAAACTGAAAAGTTGTTTTGTATGCCTTTTCCAGCAACTGAGCTTGAAAATGTTTTGCTCGGTTGGGTGATGCTGGTGGGGTACCAAGATTCGTAAAAAATCGCTGGAGCAGGGCAGACTTCAGGTTGAGCGTGGCAGCGGCAGATGATTTGTAAACAATAGGTGCCAGCTAGACCACGCTTAACAACCCCAGTCCCCCAAACCGAACCGGCAACTGGGCCTGAGACCAGCCCCTGTCTGTCAACTCAACATTGCATAGGGCTGACAACGCTGACCTCAGGGCACCATCGAATCCGCCCAAAATGGATGCATCAACCGAGAAGGATGTACGAAGGAAATACATCAATCTAAGCAAACTAAGGGCGTTGCGGACGATGGTCAGCACGTTGTGGACCGGAAGATGAGACACTCTGTCGAGGGCAAATTTCAGCTCTGCGTTTAGTGTTTTGAAACTCACCCTCCATCAATGGGGTACCCAAGAAGCTCAATGATGCCACAGACACTAAGAGCACTTCCGCCAGTGCCGGTGGCATTTTAAAAGAGTCACTAGCGTACAATTCGCATTTTTTAATATTAAGCTCAAGCCTAATGATGGAGGCATTGTCTTTCAAAGACAGGAAATCAGTAGCTAAAATTGCACTCTCGGCGGCCAAACTGATATCGTTCAGGTAGCCGCAAACGAATTTTGAAAGAGATTTTTTCAACATCGGGTGTAGGGTCAGAGCAAACAACATTGGCCCCAAAGGGTCACCCTGTTGCACTCCTTCGGACGATTCCATCACTCAGGTGTTATAACCAAGAGAAAAGATTCGGCCATATGCGGAATAGCAGTAATTATAAATTTGGGGACAGAGCCGTTTGACTGCCTCCAGCATCGAATCTCTCCTCAGGGTATTAAAGGCATTCCTGAAGTCAATTTTTAAAAAATCCGATTTATCGGGTAGGTCCAGAACCAATTTACGGGCCGCATGTACGGCCACCTCAGCTCCTCCTTTCACCCCAACGCCCAGTTGAATTGGGTAAAGTTTCGCCTTGGTTTTTTCCAGCTCCAAGATCAGAGCACATTTGCTGGCCAATCTTCTCCAAAAGTTACCGACCACAATAGGTCTAACTTCCCCATCTTTTTTAGTCAACGCTATCAACCGACCCCCGAAAAAGAAATGGCTGGCGGCGGATGGGCACGCGCCAGATAAAATTACATTTATAAACTGTGTTAGGGAGCTTACAAACTCGTCAATGGGCAGTGGGCCTGAAATTAAATCTTTAATGTGCTGGGGCCTTAGGCAATCAAGACCTTCAGACGAACCATTCTTAAATGACTTCAGGGCTGACAAAATCTGGGTGGGTGAAACGCAACCATTTACGGTTTCCGGTGCAGGAAAGACTCGCCTGTCCGATGGTGACCTGGGGTGGATTGAGTTGAGTTTAACCAATGTCTCAGGCGAGTCCCCCGCCAGACCCTCGAGAGAGCAAACAAGCCTAACAGCCGCCGAAAGATTGCCCTGTTCTATGCGGGCGATTGCGGTTTGAATCCATCTGTTTGGATTGTTTTTTCGTGGTTTTATTGTATTTTCAATTTCAAAGCCTCCAATGCAGAGTAATTTGCTAATCGTTTATTAACATAATTACCCTGGTTGAATTTTCGACCCCCTCTGGCAGGCTTTTTGAGGATATATGGGAAAAAACAATAGAGCCTGTACCAGTGAGTTGGGTCGCAGAGTTCATTACAAATTGCCACCATGAAGGACATCAATTCTTTTATTACTTTTTCCCTACATGGTTTCGGCACATGATCAAAAACCGGGGTTTTTCTCAAGGCGGCCGTCAGCCTGTCAAAAAAAGCGTTAAAGTCAATTTCCATGGGAACCTCCGTGACCGAAGCTGATGTACGTGCGGCTTCGCGACCCTCGTTGATAGGTGCAGCGCGGGGAGCCAAACCCGAAGGTCTTGTAGACCCGGCCAAAAGTTGGTCGACCACTTTCATAGACCCAGGGCATTCTTGACCCTTCTCTTTCCATCCGTGCCGGTGTAATTTCCCGTCCGGTCTTAATTTATAGTGGTTGAAACAAAAAGTGCATTTGTGTAAAACCGGAGCCATAAATAAATATAAAAATTAAAATTGTTGGTAAAATACAAATAAAACTGCAAACATTGTTAAAACTTTAAACTAAAAAATAAAAATTAAAACAAAAATATTGCAAGGATGGTGTACATAAATGAAAAACAGCAAGCTAGTATTGTATACTATTTAATAGTCATGAGTTTAAAAAAAAAATTTTGGAAACGAAATAAAATTTGATAAAACCCACCAAACCACCATAAAATATCCAAAAAAGCAAAAAAGAAACAGTCCAAAACGTTAAAACCAATTATGTATGTATGTATGTATGTATGTATGTATGTATGTGTGTGTGTGTGTGTATGTATGTATGTATGTATGTATGTATGTATGTATGTATGTATGTATGTATGTATGTATGTATGTATGAACCAATAATTGATCAGAACTATAGGGA